TACGTGTTAAATATTTCAAATTAATTACATGCGGTAACGCGCTAATTTTGACATCTCTATTCAATTTTTTCTCCATTTTGACCTTCTGTCCAAAGTGAGACAGCATTTTTAGGCAATGAAATCATATCTTATCCAAATTGGATAATCTGGAATGTGAAAACGGAGACCTTTAAATACAATAATGCAGTTTTTATTGTGAAAACATTACCTACAATTGTGGAAGACATTACAAAGTAGTTTGTAAAAGACTAAATGTTAGTAAGTAAATGTTCCAGATTGTTTTTCTTGAAAAGTCATTGAATCAGTACTCAGAGCTGTTATTCTGAGCCAATTTTCTATAAAAGTCTATTTTCAGACCTGTCTTTGTCTGCCTTTACAAGTACCAAACTCACTGGCGAACGTTTAACTTTAATCAAAGTATACACAAAACAAAAGTATCCATCCAAAGCTACTCCGCAGGACACAAAGACTTCGCTCTTTACTATGGCTTCTGCACCACCTACACTTGTCACCGCTATAAAGCTGACCAATCACAGATTTAGCGTTCTGTGTTGTCCAGACTTGTAGTTACATTTTTTAAAAAGGTGCACGTATACAATTTTTTGAAATTGAAATGAAATGGAGATGGCAAATGATCAAAAGCTGCGATTCTCATGCAAATGTTGTCAGGGAAACACAGCTCTGTGATCAGTAGTAAAGAGTGTTCTCTTGTGGAAACTATACAAATAGAATTCAAATTATTTAACATGACTAATAAACACAAAACTACAGAATCATCTCAAAGAATGATTTATTTTAAACTAGGGCTGTGCAATTGATAGAAATCAAATCTCAATTGCAATTTAAAACATTGTAATTGGTTAAATCGCAAGAGGCTGCAATATAAATGTATATAAAAACAAAATAACAAATAACATCTGAGGTGAAGTGCTTCCCCTCACTGTCAGTCCATTTACAGTAAAAACCTTCGTGCTTTTTCTCAACATGTTGTTGCGATCTGTCAAAAAGGCAATCATTTACTTAAAACATGTGTAGTAGAGGGACAAAAGCTTTTTCAGTGTGAATGGAAAAACTTTTAGATAACGATTGGAAAAGGCAGTTGGATTTAGAGGGTTTTTAGAAGTTTTTATTGTAGATGTAGCCTTAGAGTACATGACAAAAAAATATTTTAACTAACAAGTCAGCATTTAAAGTGACATAGCAAACAGAAAAATAAAAATAACAGCCCGTAGTTACAAAAACATTTGTATGTTTTTGACACCCACCTTTTGAATATAAATAATCTGATTAGTGCCAACAAAAAAAACAACACTGTTTCATCTTTCTCTTGACACACACCATCTCAACTGTTCCTCAGTGGTACCAGAAGCAGCTGAAATAATTAGGCAATTGCGCAACACATACTCTGTCTCCTGTTGTAAAGCAGTTGAGACTTGCATGTTTCTGCACATATAGAAATGTAACATTTGTTTGCTGCTCAACATTCTGTTTCTGTGCAACAACTCTGCAGCGCTAAATTCTACCTATGTTTTAATTAAATTAGCTGGTGGCAAATGAAATAGTCTAGAACAGATTAGAGTACAACATAATTTAAGTTGGGAATTTAATTATTTTGTAAAATTATCGAATTTATAAAACTAAGTGATATAACACATCTAATTATGACATTAATCATGTTAATGGTCCTACATTTGGATATGCACAAAAAGAGTGCACATTTTGCAGGATTAGGGTTTCAGAAATAATAAACTGAATAGGAACATTCTATTTTTAATGAACTTTCATTTACTTAACATTTTTAATAATCGAGGACCTTTATCTTCATTAAACAAGTTTTTTTTCTGCTATTGTACTTTATTGTAAGCTCATTCTGCAAATGTATTTAATTAATTTAGGCTACATTTTATACAGCTGAAGGAAAAATTATTGGCTTAATAAATTAACAACATTTATCATGTACTGCCATCAAGACAAAGACAAAATAAATGTGTTAAGAAATTTGTTCTTCTTTTTATGTATTAATTAATTTATTTTCATATTTATTTGGCAGGGACAAGGACCAATAATAATACAGAAAAGAGCAAGAATTAGCCAAAAGGTTGGCGATGGTAAAATAGTCGCCCTAAAAAAATAAAACAATTAATCAATTAAAAATAAACACAAACTTCAAATCATTAATGTCTCTTCATTACAACAGCACTTGGGTAATATTGAAACAAGAAATAAAAGTTAATATTTCACATAAGGGCTAATCATTGCCTTTTAACTGTGTATCCAAGGTAAATGTTAACAAAAACAGACCATTATGTTGTCCATCAATGCAAACGCAATTATTCATAAAGTCAAAAAAAGCTAAAAATCTTTCTAGGCAAATTCTAATTCAACTAATTAAGAATAAATGCAACAAAATCATAATCATGATTATTTTGGTCATAGTTGTAATCACGATTATTCAAAACGATCATCATTTGAAGACAAAATTATTAGCGCTCATGAGAATTGTTTTTTTTTTAAATAAATATTTCCAAAACGATGTTTAACAAAGCAAGGAATATTATTTAAATATTTTGAAACCCATTTTAAGGTCAATATTATTAGCCCACTTAAGCAATATATTTTTGATTGTCTGCAGAAGAAACTACTGTTACACAACATGACTTGCCTAATGAAGCCTTTGAATGTCAATTTAATCTAAATGCTTGTATTTTGAAAAATATCTAGAAAATTATGTACTGTCATCATAGCATAGATAAAAGAAATCAGTAATTAGAAATGAGATATCAAAACTATTATGTTCAGAAATAAGTTTAAAAAAAAACTTCTTTCCATTAAACAGAAATTGGGGAGGAAAATGGTTGCTAATATTCAGGAGGGCTAATAATTCTGACTTCAACTTCATATATACAGTTATTTTCCACCCTGCAATGGAAAAAGAAATAAATACAATAGACTAAAAATATTAAATAAACTGTGCTTTAAGCATCTTCACTGTAAGAAAAACACTTTAGCAACAAAAATCCTTCAGTCAAGAGCAGAGAGAGATTTTCTCGTTTTGTTTAATAATGATAAAAAAAGGCTGCAGCAAGAATAGTGCACTGTCTCTTTAATGGTTTTTAAAAGCCTTTTTTTGATCTTCAACTCGTTTGTTTATTACACAAATGAGGGTTAACATGAATAATCTCTAAACACCACGTTTTGACACCGATTTGACCATTAAAGCGCTCACGTTAAGATGACTTTAGATGTCTGCGCTCCTCTGCTCGTCTCAGTGTGCGAATGAGACCGAATGCTGACCGGCCGCATGCTTCTGGCTGCACACACACATAAGCACGCGCTATTTCGCGCTTTTAAGAGCAACACATGTGTTCAGCTGAAAATGGGGCAGTATATGATGCAATAATCGTTTATCTCGATTAATGCCTTTTCATAATCGTTTGAAGCCAAAATCGAAATCGGATTTTCGATTAATTGCACAGCCCTACTTTAAAAGGACCTAAAGATGTCAGCATAAGCACAGTCAACCAAGGCTGTCTCAAATTTTCAAAAGTGAAACTGCATGCTGTTACAAAAATGACACAGACCACCAAGGAAAAGCTTTGGTTTGACATGGTTACTCTACAAACAAAATTATATAGTGATGTAAGAAGAACATTTAGGTTTTCGTTTGATTTATCTCTGTTTTGAAACTAAAATTACGCTTGGTGTTTTAATGTAACATTGCATATCTGTGGTCAAATCTCGAGTTTGACTTTGTTTTGTTCCTCATGATTCTTTTCTCTTTGTATTCCCATTCTGCATTCTGTAATATCGCAATGAAAAGACACGTTTTGGGGATATTCATAGTCTGTTCAAGGTCATTTTGTTAATTCTCTGTTTCCTTTTAAAAGGTGCAGTATGTAGGATTGACATCAACTGGTCGAACTAATTATTGTAGAACGAATTTAAAATGTTGGATAGGAATTTTTCACCCTCGTGCCTCCTCTGTCACACAAACGTCGATATCATCAGGAAGGAGTTTGTAAGCCTGAAGCAAAGGCTATAGATATAAAAAGATGGTTCACTGGCATTACTATGAATGGGATAAAGTGCAACACTCAGTATGGCCTCCACAGCGAAGAAAGTCCTGCCTTCCAGTCGAAATAGCCAACTGTCAGTCTTTATATCTACATCCTTTGTGGCCAAAGGATCTGTAAAGATTTGCTTGTCTGTGTTTTCGAGTATTTGCTCAGGTTTTGTCTCCATCCTTAAAGTGTTTCTAACAGTGTCCTCTGATTACTAGTGAAAATCCATAAATGAGTTTGGTGTTGAGGCAACTTTGCACAGTAGGAACAAACAGAAAATTTTTGTCAATGTAAAATGTAACCGTAATTAGGGCTTAGACAACAACAATAATGGGCCAGGTCAGTTTTTAAAAAAGGTAATTTAATTGAGAGTTTAGTGAGCAGTTTTTGAGATTTCAGAATTCCCCCATTCATTTAGACAGGACTTTGGTCTTGGGCATTGTAAAAATGGCAGACAAGTGAACAGACTTTCATTGAAGGAACTTTGACTGTAAGCTGCTCAGCTAACTTTTACATTTGTAATACATGTATAGTTTTGTAAATAAAAAAACACCTCATGAATCTGTGTCTCATTTTAGAGGCTGCTGGAGGTCACTTTTTCGGCCAAAGGCACATATATTGAAAAAGTCCTTAAAACTAAAATAAAATACAGTGTCTTAAAAGAAGGCAACCTGAGGTGCCAAAACATAACTGCGTAAAATGGCAGTGGGTGGATTTTCAGACCAAAACAAAGACTAATAACAGACTTAGCATTGTTTTTCATGTTCATGTTTTCATGTCCAAAACTTACATAAACCATAAACTCAATAGATGGATAAATTGTGATGAGAACAAAACCACCTCACTATATCTAGTTTTTTGTTTAATTAAGTTATACATTTAAAAGCCAAGCCTTAGGACATTTCCTAACAAACAAGTCTTACTGTGCAGTTAACTCACCATTTTTGCGTTCCTTCAATGGCAGCAGGCTCGGGACAGATTGCAGAGAGAGTTCCTGCATCTCACTGGTCACAGCCTCGCTCTGAGGACTGGGCACGGGGCCGCTCCCCACAGCAGACACCATGCTGCCAGGGCTGAGCTCCTCCACACGCTGAGCTTCCTGCTCTGCCAGGGTGACAGGTAGGTGAAGCAGTCAGACCTGTGACAGGTTAATTACAGAGATGAGGCTGAATTAGAATCTGGAAAACACCACAGGCAAACTTAGCATCTGATATAAAAGGGCATCAAAGGCTTTGTAGAGTGAAAATACTGTCTTTCACTGAGCCTATGCATCTGAGCAGAATTATATTTTGAAGGAACACAAATAAAGACAACACATTGTTCTTTATTATTCTACTAGTCATTTTGTTTATTTTAATTAGAGCTTTGCTTGTACAAAGAGTCAACCCTTTTGGGAACCCATTTTGGTGTTAAGATATTTAGGTAGATGCCTGGGATTTAATATTCCTCTCTCACCCAGAATGTCATTTAGGTGATAAAACTGAGGTCCCACATATTACGAATGATGTGTCTCCCTTATAACTGCTCATATAACTATAGCAGCACGTATAATATTGAGGTTTGGGACAGACATTCAATGCTCTACACTTAAATTATGGATGGTATTCATGTTTAAGAATGTGTTATACGAAAAAATGTTAACCAAAATGAATGGCGATCATAAGAAAGTTGATATATGGGAGAATTTCATTTCTTTATTAAAACTATGGACATGTGTACTTTTGTGATCTGTAGTTTTATCATTATGCATTTTCTTCTAAATTTCTTAATTTTCTAAACCAGGCACCAAACTTTATATTATGAAGGGCCAAAAACTAAATATCATTGAAAACTGTGGGCCGAAGATAAATATATCAAACTATTTCACATTAAATTTGCCATAGGTAATTTACTAATTAATTTCATAATTTAAAAAAATAAATAGTAAACATCACCTTGAATCGTATTAACTATAATAATACAGTATAACTTTTTAAATTAGAACTTATTGCAATAAAAAACAATCACATTTATAACATAGTGGAGTTCAATGCTAAATAAACTAGTCAAACAGAATCTGACTGCCTTGATTCGCTGACCCAAGTCTCTGCATTGTCCTCTGTCTCTTGGGTAACAGTATGTACATTTTAAACTAAATTACAGCATTTTAATTGAAACTTAATTTCAGTTAGCTTTTTCGTAACTTAACAAACAAATGAAAGGTTACACTAAATTTGAATCATTCTCCCTCTCTTCTCAGATGGAATGGTGGGCCAAATCCAAGGTTACCATGGGCCAACTTTGGTCGGCAGGCCCTAGTTTGGGCATCTCTGTTCTAGACTGTGAAGAATTTGTATGCATTTTGTACTAGTATGCATTTTGTACTTGTACTTTTGAATGGAACTTTAAGTTATATAGTTAAATTGGAGCTTTGGTTAAAATCTGTTCTGAGGAAAAGGTAATCAACTCAAAATTTCAAAATCAATCGCTATTCTTTCTTGAATCGAGCCAAGTTTTGTTTTTAAGAGTACACTCAAACTTTCACAAGGCAGAGCACATGTGCATTCGACTGCGTCTATAAGTTGGTTTTTATAAACATAAACACAGCTTACTATAAACACTCTTGTAATTCACTAAAACCTTTTGTATCCTTTTTCTTTTTTGGTTTGAGTGGTATTTGTAAGGAAGTGGATGCAAGCAGAGTACACAACCTGACAAAAGTCTTGTCGCCTATCCAAGTTTTAAAAACAACAAATAATAACTTGACTTTGATCATAAGTGTCTTATATGAAAGGCAAAGTAGGCTGTTGGTGTTGTCATCCACTCTACAGATGTCTCACATACCCTTATACTGAATGTAACCCCAAACCATGATTTTTCCTTCACCAAACTTGGCTGACTTCTGTGAGAATCTTGGGTCCATGCAAGTTCCAACAGGTCTTCTGCAGTATTTGTGATAATTGACATACAATTCCACAGATGATTTATCAGAAAAAAAAAATCTACTTTTTTTTTTTACACAAATAATCAACTAAAGTCAAGTTACTATTTGTTGCTCTTATATCTGGGATTGACGACAAGACTTTTGTCAGGTAGCGTACAGTTGTATGTAGAGCATACAGCACAATAAATTTTTTATTCAGCTCTAATTTTAATGCCACGTCAAGGCTATGCTAGAAGGAAAACAAATGGCAATAAAACAAAACATTTTTAATTTAACATATAATAAAAATTCTATAACTGTTTTTGGTAAAATTGAATGAAACAATTCTCTGAAAGAATGTACTTGTGATAAAAATAAAATAAAATATGTAATTCCCGAACATACACTTCATCTTTAGACAAAACGTCCTAGTTACGTACGTAACCCACGTTCCTCGAATAGGGAACGGAGACGTGTGTTTGTATAAACAGGCTTTGGGAGTGCTTTAGACAACCGATCACTTCAAAAGATATTAAAATGGGCCAATGAAATACTAATTGAGTTGGCGGACCTTAGCTTTACAGCTGAAACTGATGAGCCAATTAGGGCTTTATCAGTCGGCTGTTGGAGTCAGCTCATCAGAATTTTGCCTGCTAAAGAGCCGATCGCTCAGCTCCCAGCTGGAGACTCAGGTGCTGTGGCAGTGGAGACACACGTCTCCGTTCCCTATTCGGGGAACGTGGGTTAAGTACATAACCAGGAAATTCTCCTTCTTTAGGGAACTCCTACGGAGACTGTATGGAAAGCACCACAGCAGCCAAAGCCCATCACACTCCTGATGTGTAGTTTGCCAAGCCCAAACTCCTCCGCCGAGTCAATGCTGAGGGCCTCGGAGGAACTCTCTAGGGTTCGCCTGAGAAGGGAAACTTACTAGTAGAGTAGAAAATAAATAAATAAATCAAACGCATCTCCGGGTTAGGGAGCATGGCGCAGCAAGAGTTTGTGACACCAAGCTTAATTTCCCCCCGATTTATTGGGGTTACCCAATAACCGGTAGGAAACTGGGTCCACTCAAAAATTATAGAACCTCGCGAATGCGTTAGGTGTTGCCCAACCCGCAGCTCTGCAGATATCTGTGAGAGAGGCACCGCGTGATAACACCCATGAGAAAGCGACCACTCAAGTAGAGTGCTCTCTCACGCCCTGGCATTGAGAAGCAAGGGCGATGGCATCAACTAACCAGTGAGCCAACCTTTGTTTTGATACGGCACTTCCTTTCTGCCGACCACTGTAACAGATTAAAAGCTGTTCACATGATCTAACATTATGCGTTCGTTCCACATAAAGGTACAAAGCATAAATGGGACAAAGCAGTGAGTGAGTTGAGCCTGCCTCCTCCGAAGGCAGCGCTTGCAGATTCACCACCTGATCTTTAAATGGGGTGGTAGGAACCTTGGGCACATAGTCAGGCTGGTTTCTCTGGACAACGTGATAGTAACTGGGCCTGAATTCAAGATACGATTCACTGACCGAAAATGCCTCCAGATCCACAACTCTCTTAAATGACGCCAATGAGATTAGCAGAGCTATCTTTAATGACAGAATTTTGCGTGATACCGAATCGAGTGGCTCGAACGAATCACTTTGCAGACACGCTAGGACTATTAAGATATCCCAAGAGGGCATGAGAGGGGGGGCGGGACGGATTTAACCGCCACGCACCTCTGAGGAATCAGATGATTAGATCATGCTTCCAAAGCGTGTTGCCATCCACCGCGTCATGATGAGCGGAGATTGCCACGTAAAAATTCAGTGTGGAGGGTGACAGCCTTCGCTCCAGCTTATCCTGAAGGAAGGATAACACAATGCTAGTCTGGCAAGTTCGGGGGTCTTCTCAGCGAGAAGCGCACCACTCATAGAATAAACTCCACTTCAGGGCGTAGGCATGCCTCTTAGAGGATTCTCTAGCCTGACCAGCTGTGAGCCAGTGCATTCTTGCCGAGGGGGGCCTCAGTCAGGGCATAAAACAGCTGGCAATGTGCGTTCTCAATGGAAGCAAACAGATCGATCTGGGCTTCCCCGAAGCGCGCCCATATCAGCTGGACTGAATTTGGATAGAGTCTCCACTCTCCTCGGGACACTAGCTGCCGTGAGAGCACATCGGCTGCACGGTTGAGCTGAGACATGTGGCGGAAGCATATACCCCCTATACAGTTGATATAAGCCACCATCGCCATGCTGTACGTCCTGACCAGCACATGTTTCTGCTCCAGTACCGGTAAAAAGTGGCAAAGAGCCAGATACACTGCCAACAGCTCTAGGCAGTTGATATGCCAATGCAGGCGGGGTCCGGACCACGAACCTGCGGCTGCATGCTCGTTGTACACGCCCCCCCAACCCGTGCTGGAGGCATCTGTCGTTACGACAACATGCCTGGATACTAGCCCTAGGGGCACTCCGGCCCGTATAAAAGCCAGATCCGTCCAGGGGCTGAGGGTGCGGACACACAGCGGAGTGATGTGCACCAGGTGCATACCCGCACGCTATGCCCGTCTGGGGACTCGATCGTGAAGCCAACGCTGAAGTGGTCTCATATGAAGCAAACAGAGCGGCATAACCGCGGCTAAGGATGCCATATGCCCTAGGAGATTTTAAAAACATTTCAGTGGGGCCACTATCTTCCTGTGAAGCTAGTTTACACAGGAAAGCATCAGCCTGGCGCGCTCCTCGGAGAGGCGCAAAACCATAGCAACCGAATCCAGCTCCAGCCCGAGATAAGAGATCCTCAGCACAGGGCAAAGTTTGCTTTTCTCTCGGTTGACCTGAAACCCCAACTGGTCGAGGTGCCGAAGCACTTTATCTCTGTACATATTCAACTGATCGCAGGACGAGGCTAGAATGATCCAGACAGTGGGATAGTTGAGTATGCGGATGCCCGCGAGCCACAGTGGCGCTAGAGCACCCTCCGCAAGCTTGACCCGCGGAGACAGAGAGAGCCCGAAGGGGAGGACTTTGTATTGACACGTTCGTCCATCAAACGCAAACCAGAGAAAAGGGCAGTGTCGCCGACCAAGCCAGCCTGGGATATGGGAGCGTTAAGAAAGCAAGCTTTTTCAACGTTACTTATATCAGCCAAGCTCAGCCAAAGGTGGCAGCTTCTCGGCTTGGTTACGTTGATAGGTGGCCATAGCATGCAGAACGGAGGCGGCCTGGCAACCAGTAGTGTAGGCTCTGAC